TGCATGGTTGACCCAATGTGTGTCCAAGTAAAACTGTCCTCCTTCCCGTGTTCTACTGGGTGACTTCCTTATGAGGAACCTCTGGGTGGATTTGAACTGCCAGCTGTTTCTTTAGTTGTGAGTGCATTAACCATTTGCTCTACACAGGGACTCTTTTATTCTCCCTCAACTCATTGCCTTCAAGTTGGTGTCAATTCATATTGACCAACGCTCCACCTCCCCCCCACCCCCCCAATTGGTTTCCATACTGAACTCTAGTGGCCTAGTGGTAAGAAACTGCATTCCAATCCCAGAGGCCTGCGGTTTGAATCTACTAGCTGCTCTACAGGAGTAGGATGGGCAGTCTCCTTCCATGCAATTAACAGTCGTCAAAATTGCTGTAAGATCAGCTGTACGTCAATTCTGACTCCACAGTGCTCAACAACAACAACATAAGTTTCCGAGACTGAATCTTTATGGTAAGAGATTGACTCTTTTTCACCTCAAAGCAGCTGATAGATTCAGACTGCACACCTTTTTCAGTTAGCAGCCTTATACACTCAGAGCTATGCCTCTGGAGCTCCTTTGCATACCTGTTGTTGTTACTGTTATGTGCCACTGAGTCGGAATCAACTCATAGTTAACCGGATGGCAGGTTTTCAGAGGTTGTACACAGCATGGTAGAAGAATGCCCACCCATCTTTCTCCTGCAGAGCAGCTGATGGATTTGAATCACACACGTTTGGGTTGGTAGCACAGCTTCTTACCAGTCAGCCACCGCAGTACCCTTCCATGCCTATGGCTGTACTTAATTTTTTTTTGTTAATTCACATTTAGGATAGTTAAGGCCTCGGCTGCTGGAGAAAAGACCTGATGATGCACTCACGTAAAAATTATGGCCTAGGAAATCACATGAGGCAGACTTATTCTCTCCTAGAAGATTACTCTGGTGGCTTAGTGGTAAGGAGTTGTGCTGCTAAGCCAGAGGCATGCAGTTCGAGTCCACCTGCTGCTCTGTGGAATAGAGATGGGCAGTCTCCTCCCATATGGGTCACTGCCCTCGAGAGTCAGCTATGAGACGGGCATGACTTGACAGTGCACAGCAGCAGGGTATTGGGAGCGCTGGTGGCCTTGTGGGAAGGAGTTGTGCTGCCAACCGAGAGTCACCTTCTTCGAACCCCCCAGCCATTGTGGAAGAGAAAGATCAGCAGTGTCCTCCTGTGCGAATTGCCGCCTCTGAAAATCTGCTGAAGGGTCAGCAATGAGATAGGTCTGACTCAGCAGCATATAACATGACATGACATGACATGTTGACAACATGACGTAGTGTCACTGTAAATTGGGATTAACTTGATGGTACATCGCCACCTTTGCTCCTTCACCCCATCCTTAAAACACAAATAGTAATGTTATACTTGGGATGTTTGGAAACATTTCAAAACTTTTCCAAGGAATAGATAAGGTGTTTATGAAATCATCATGTTATGACAAATCTAAGCCTATTTATGAAAAAGAATCACAACTGAGAAGAAACTTGGTTACAGCCAACCATTAAGTGACCCAACTTTGATTTAGCATCTATCTTGTTAGGCATCTTTTGGGAGCGCTGGTGGCTTAGTGGTAAGGAGTTGTGCTGCCAACCCAAACAAAGATACATGGTTCGAATCCACCAACTGCTCCATGGGACCCAGCTATGGGCCAGTTCCACCTTGAAGGAACACATCAACAACATATAGTGAGCATGGGAGGAGATTGCGCCCATCTTTCTCCCACAGCGCAGGTGCTATATTCCATAGATATATTTATATATTGGGTTCTGAAAGCTTACTGTTAAGAAGTTGTGTTGCAGTCCCAAAGACAACATGGTTTAAATCTACTCATTGCTTCTTGGGAGAAGGATGGACACTCTCCTCCATTGCCATTTACTGCCTCTGAAAACTCCCTGGAAGATCAGCTATAAGTTGGTTGGTTCCAACTCCACAGCACACAACAACAACAACAATAAAATACAGACACATATGCATGAGGCATGCTAGTGATGACAGGAGAGTTAAGACATGGAAGAATGAGAAAAGATACCATCATGAGAAAGGAGAGAAAGATCTTCAACAAGAAGGATTGACAAAGTGACTAGAGCAAAGGGCTTGAGCATAGATATCAGAGGTCATGCGGATGGCACAGAGTAGGGCAAGGTTCACATCTATTGTTCCTAGGTCAACTTATTGGCACCTAACAACAACTCTGTCATTAGACGTATAGAAGAAGGATTGCTCCTAATTTTTTTACATTTGCAAAGAACAGTATAAATTTTCCCCAAGGTAGAAAACAAGAACAGAAGGATTAAATAAATGCTACTGGGACCAGCAGTCAGGAAATCAACAGGGAAATTGCATTATTTACCTAAAGCAATAGTACTGAGAAGCAGTGATGTCAGTCTAGAGACTAAGGTGCGCTTGATACAGTCTATGGTCGTCACAATTACTTGCTATGCATCAGAGAACTGGACAATGACTAAGGATGACAACAGAATTAATGCCTTTGAATTGTGCTGGAGACAAGTCTTGAACATACTGTGGACCACCAAGAAAACAAATAGGTCTGTCTTGGAGAGAGTGAGACCAAGTTTCTCCTGGCGGCTAGGATTTTGAAGATGCATCTTACATACTTTGGCACATGGCTAGGAGGGATCGGTCCTTGGAGAAGGACATCATGCTCGGAAAGGTGGAGGGACAGAACAGGAGAGGAAGAGCCCGGATGAGATGGCTTGATACAGTGACTAGGGCAATAGGGGTAGATGTGTCAGAGTCAGTGAGACTGGCGGAGAACAGGGCAGGCTTCAGAGTTTTTGCACATGGGTCACTGTAGTCGCAGGCGACTTGATGGCACATAACAACAACACGGAATGGTTAGCTGGGAAGAGTGGTGAGTGCTGCTCAGAGAAGCCCTGCTAGATCTGATGCCAGCCTTGCTGGCTCTGCTCTGGGGAAGCAAAAGTTCTATTCTTCAGGCCTCCACTTGCTTCTTATGGTCATTTTTGTAATAGAAAACACTGGATCCTATGAACATGTCTCCTGTTTGTACTAGCTATGTAACCATGGGTGAATTATTTAGCTTCTTTCAGGAGAGAACTCAGGTGGCACTGCTTATAGTGAGTTGTGTTGCTAACCCAGAGGCCATAGGTCCCTGGTGGTTCAAAGCCAGCAGCGGATCTATAGCAGAAAGATGGGCAGTCTGCTCCCATTATGATCTAGAGCCTCAGAAGCATGAGGGAGGGCAGCTGTGAGGCAGAACTGACTCAACTGCAGTGAAGTTTGAGTTTCTTGAGTGTTTCACTTGTACTTAATGTAAAGGTAAGGTACTACTCTTGCAAAGTTGTTAGGATAAGTTTTAAAAAAATACTGTACTTAAATATGTCTAGCCTGGTACCAGACACATCATAAGGGCTGAGAGAATGCTGATTCAATAAGTAAATCAAAAGCGTCTGTGAATCACGTCATTCTGTGAGTGGCCATTAAGAAAATCTTCACAAGACAGGAGGTAAGTTAATATCTAAAATAGGGCAAAATCACAATGTCGTCATATTCATTTCGTTCTGGCACAAGACATCCAAGAGTGTGGAATAAACAAAAATAAAGTCAGTCAGTCCTTGCCATCAAGTTGGAGCTGGCTCGTCTATGACCCTCGAACAAGCTTTCAGAGACTGTAAAGCACACGGAAAAATTGTTCATCATACTCTTGTGAAGCTGCTGGTAGATTTGAGCAACAGCAGAAAAGAATCAGCTGTCTTTGGAATGTCAGCACAACTCCCGCCCATTAGGTCCCCAGAGCTCCCTCAAAGTAATAGTGGTGGTGGTGGTGGTGGTGGTGGTGGTGGTGGTGGTTATGCACCTACCATCGAATTAGTACTGACGCATAGCTGACTCTTCAGTGGGTTTTCAGAAGCGATAAGTCTCACGGGAAGAAGTTGTCCATCTTTCTTTCACAGAGCAACTGGTGGACTCGAACCATATACTTGTAGGTTGGCAGTGCGACTCCTCACCACTGAGCCACCAGAACTCCCTAAGAGTGATAGTAGAAAAGTCTATTGGGACAGAAGAGCCTGTGCAGGCTGAAAGTCAATGTGCTGATCGCATCCATTTGTCTACACTGGCACACTGGGCCATCCCAATAAGAACCGCAGTTAGCAGTCCACACAGTGCCAAACACTATTTCTCATCTGCATTTGGATTAAGGGTTCATTGTGTCATAAACTACTGAAAATTCCGGTGTGGGTCTCAAGACAACCTGATGAGCACAGATTTAGCTAGTGCTAAACTAACTGTACACAGCAAATTGGATGAAAGCAAGTTTCAGAAGCTTTTTGCTAAGAGCTAAAAGTACAGTTGATACTTCCCTTGTTCAGGAGTCATCACTGTAAGTCATCACTGATTGTAGAAACTCATGAGCAGTCTGAAATAGAATTCCAGGAGTCTCAGGTGGACATTTGTGAAACTGTTAGAAAAACACAGGTACACACACATGATTCATGATAATTATCACTTTCTGAAGACATTTTTACTTCTTAGCATTATGCTAGCTAGATGCTTCACACGTGCTACTTCCAATTCTCAAGAGTCCTGCAAGGCAGTTACTTCCATTTCCTAGAAGGATACCAAAGGTCAGAAAGTCTCTGCCCACACAGCTAAGTAAGTGCGTTATCCAGCTCTCTACCACACCAGGCTGTTTCTCCAACAGGGAAATCAGTCTTAGCTTGAGACCCAAGGACAAACCTGGGTAAGTTTCTTCTTGACGATACTAATGCTACCAAAATTTTCATTCTTAATTTTGGCACCAAGGGGGGGGGGAGGGAATGTTGCCAAAGTGTGATGCACCACGATCACAACAAATCCCAAAATAGCCTAAGGTCATCCATCATAAGCTGTCCCCGTTCTGCTGTAACTTCACCCCCTTCCTTCCCTGAACTGGCCCTGAACGCCCCTCTCTGGTCATGGGCAGACCTCATTTTGTCTTTCTGTCCACAGGAGTCGGAGCCTCTCTATGCGCAAATCATCAAATCCCAGAAATAGCATCGATGCGGGCTCGTGGTGGGCGCTTCAAGACTGGCATGGAAATAAGCATCACAACAGGCTCTCTTGTATTCTTCCACCTCACCTCATCCCACAGAGAAAATCATGATTACCCAATGGAACTCGCTTTGCAGAGGGAACTATCGGTTTTTGGCAACCAATGGCAGATATCTATGGCAGCACAAACAGGGGGAAAGGAAACACGCCCAACATGAAATCACAAGTAAACACCCAGCAAATACTCTCTGAGCTCTCTTAGCATGGGTTTGAGATGACCTGGTGTGTAAAATCACAATTGTCTTTTCAGTTCTCTACCTGTTGACTACTGTAGAGACAAGAAGTTTGACAGACATCAGAAAGTTACAAGATTGGCTCAGACTTCTTTCAGGCAAATCAAAAGGTCCTCTGTGACCGCAGGACCACCTTCTGGCACACAGTGATATTTTTCATCACTGCACAGGGCCTGGTCTGCCATTCCCACCCCTTTCCTTTCTTTGACATGTTTAAAAATTAGTGGGTGTACAAATTTTTTGTATTGCTTTTAATTTAATTTTATTTTTTTTTTAAATATGGGTGAAGAAATCTAACTGGGATAGGGGGAAGTCACATATAAAACAAATTAACTTACAATCACCAGACAAAGAAGTGATTGCTTCCTCATTATGTTCAAGAATGTTGCCAAGACAACCCTTTAGCTATTTTGCGTTGTGGTGAAGAAAGACAGCTTTCGGTTTGAATGTTTCATTCTATGAGTAGGAAAGGACATCGCATCCCGTGATGGCAAAGATACGGCCGCGCTGGATTTTCCGAAGAAGCTCTAAAATCTCAGTACAACAAAATGATATTTTTTATTTTTCCGATATCTTGCTGCTGGGATGCTCTGCAGACAAGTGTCTTCTCCGAGTGCCATTTTCAAAGCAAAGTCATTTGCCAAATAATTCTGCTACAATTCTGGTAATGTGGTTTTGAATTTTAAAAACCGACTTTATAATGGAACAATGGTGACGTGAATATTCAGAATAACAAACTGATGGCTCATCTCTTATCTCTTTTTGTACATCAGAAAATTCAAATGGGGTTTTTATTTTATAACTTGGGGGCGGGGGAAACAAAAACAAACACACCTTACCATTAAGCTCTTTAAATATTTAAGAGAAATGGCTTTAAGGAGTTCTAATGAAAAAAAAAAATGCCAGTTTTGGTTTTGTCTTTTTTTTTTTTTGTAAATAGAAATGTTAATGAAAATGCTTTTTAATAATGCCATTACACTGTAGAGAAGGTAGCAGATTGAGTGGAAGGTGTGACAAAGTTGATGGATGGGGCTCACGCTCCAGATGCTATTCTGGAGCATATGGTAGAAAGCTGGGGTTCAGGGACAGCTGGCAACAGCAGCTGGCCAATCAGCAGCTGGTGAATGGGAAGGGAGAGGGGAGAGCAAGGGACTCCATACCTAGTCTTTTCCCAAGAGGAGCCACCCTGTGCGCAAAGCAAGAAAAAGAGGGTTCACAACTGGAGGACCTGACCCTCTACTCTGAAATCCACTCCCGCCTCTCCATGCCCTTTGCCTATCTATCCCCCTTGGAAAACACTGGACTGTTTATACGTGAAACAAAAGAGTTTAAGCTTCCTTTTTTTACATTTATGAGACAAAAAAAGTGCAGTGTTTGGTTCATATGTTTAGCACATGATTTTCATAAAGAATCTATATATTTTTGCCCTACAGAGAATTGTTATACAGGTCAAATGTGTTTTCCTGATGTTCCTATGCAGTTACAGTATGTCGAATTTAGTGGTTTAACACTAACAAGGAAACGTTTAAGAATCATGTGATTAATCGGATGGGGTGATTGTTAGTGCATTGGTTTTAAAATTTGAAAATGCAAATATACATCGATATGATTGGTTTGGATAGAGTTCTTCATATCAATAGGAAATCAAATTGTTTGGCAGATGATACACCTTTACGAAGAGAACAATGAGACATCAAGGTGATTGGTATTGTATTAAAGCCTAAACTTGACACTTATCAGTTAAGCCTAAACTTGGCATTGAGTTTCCATTTATTCCCAATGAGGTAGAATGGTGAAATTCCTTTTGCAGAATATATGTAAGTATCTCCCTGATGTACAAGGGCCAGAGATTCAGATGTCACCTGATGGTCCACCTCATTTTTCCAGGGACGTAAATACATTTTTGTGATTAGGCAATCCTTTCTTACAAAGGAAAGTGGGGAAAGGTGTGGTGACTTTGGGAGTTGCCCTGAAACCTGTCCAATTCTGTATTCTGATGGCTTAATAGGAAAGTCAAGTCCCATATAGAAAAGGCTTCAGCTGCTGTTCGTCCATGATTCTGATTCTAAACAAGTGGTGCTATCTTCTCCCTCAATATGGCTTGTCTTGAGTTTGTCTCTCGGCATCACACCATTATACTGATCCTCGACGTTGATTCTGACACGTTGAAAGTGAACGCTGGCCTCTGCCGCTGTTTCAGGTACACCGTCTGGAGTTGATTTCATTGCAGAAGGTGACAGCACGGTGGATTTATCATTGTTCATTAGATATGGCTGAAAATGTCACTGGCCCTGGACTTAAAGAAGATGCCCATTAAATTGATGCGTTAAAGTGAGGGAAAATATAGTCAAGGTTTGATTTCAAACTGCCACCTGTGTCATCATTGGCAGAATTCTGATTTTTCTCAAGCACTGTTCACTGAACACAGACCCACTGTATCCAATCCCAGGAATACAGTGAATTTTCCAAACAAGAGCTGAGGTGCCAATACCAGAAGACCTTGGGGAGTCTGCACGTTTCTGGTTAGATCAATAGAAAAATCCATGTGTACAACTGTTAATTCCTCATCCTTCACTAGCACTAAATTTGTCACTTTAAATTTTGAAACCAGGGAAACGCCACCTGTCATTTTGTCCCCATTCCCCATAGCTCTTCAATCTTTACGTGTTGCAAGACTATTTTGATAGCTCGTACTCATCCCAGTGTCTGCTGAAACCCCGTCATGTAATGTGCTGGGCACCTTCTTTTAAAAAAAAACACAAAAATGTTTACTCTGTGGGTTTGGTTCATTTCAATTTCTGCATTCTGACATATTTTTTTAATAAAGATGAGAAAGAGAAAATGACTGTTGCAGTCCGTTTCTAGACCTACTTTAACTTTACCTCAGATGACAGTTTGTTAACATATATGGACACATTATTTTTAACTTTATGTACAATGCATTCAACAGAACAGCAAAATTTTTAGAAATTTTCCATTAATTTCTGTAACACACCATGTAAAACTGGTACAAATAAACATGTTTGAGAACAACAGCTTAGCCTGGTTTATTCCACCAGTTCCATAAATGCTCAGATGATGAATTGGAGGAGGAAGTTGTGTGTATTTAAATTACTACCCAAAGGGCCTGTGTGAGATAAATGGTTGAGCACCCAGCTAACAATGAAAAGGTAGGTGGTTCAAGCCCTCATAGCGATTCTTTGAGTAGAAGACTTAGCATTCTTCTGAAAAGTCACAGCCATGAAAATCCCGTGAAGCAGTTCTCCACGCATTCGGCCACCAGAGGTCTAATCAGTTCTTTGGCAACTGACAAGCCTCTGTCTATCCATGTGAAGACCTGGCCTTGCCTGGCACTGGGCTAGATCAAGAATGCTCAAGGAAGGAGTTCGGTCATTTTGCCCTTAAATGTACCTAAGCACTTGCAGGAGGCACCAGCCACAGCAGAAAGTGAAGATAATCAAGAAGGGCAACCCCTATGTAGAGATGGTAGACCAAATTTAGCATCTCAGTCCTCTAAACTTCTTACGGTCTAGTTGGAACCCACTCATTGCTGCATCTGCAGCGTGTTTTCTGAGGCTGTAAATCACACGGGAGGAAATTGCCCATATCTCCCCCCTCTATCTGTTGGTGGATTTGAACAACCGCTGAAATACCAATTTTGTGTTTGGGGTGCCACTCACTACGGACTGTGCCCCCAGAGTTTCCTATGTTTACCGTGTTGTTGCTGAGTACCAGTGAGTCAGAACCAACCCATAGCTGACCCTCTAGCAGGTTTTCAGAAGCAGTTAATCACACAGGAAGAGATTGCCCGTCTTTCTCCTGCAAAGCAACTGGTGGCCTCAAGCGTGTGCCTTCGAGATTGCAGCATAGCTTCTTACCATTAGGCCACCAGAGCTCCTCATAGAATGTTTAAAATAACATGTACTGTCAAATCAGAACGGACTTATATCTGACCCTCCCCTCTGGAATAATAGGGGGCTTTGAGAGGCAGTAAATCACACAAGTGGAGATTGTCCATCTTTCTCCTTCAGAGCCACTGATGGATTCAAACTGCATGCCTTTAGTTTGGCAGCACACACCCTTACCACTAAGCCAGAAGAGCTCCTACAAAATCCTACAAAATCAACCAGACCTCAGGAATGGCCCTGTGGGTTTGCATTTCCTAAAAGGAAAAAATTAGAGCAGACATGCAAACAAAAGCCCTAAACTTGATTGGCAAGCTACACACCACAACACACCCCACCCTAAAAAAGACTAAAAACGAACTTTGACTTTCATATCATGGGGGGCGGGGGAGGGGGGAATGGGTATCTGTATGTGTGTTTGTGCATGGTTATGAGACGGAACTTCATTTTTATTGCCTTTTGCCATTAAATCCGTTTGACCCACCAATCAGCCTAGCCAGATTAAAGATTATAATTAGGTCATTGAGATGCCCAAAGCCATCTCTGTTTAGAACTGGCTGTGTTAATGGCTGTGTAAACACATGCCCTCAATATGCCCTCATTTATACAAGAGGTAGTAAACAGATGTCATCTCCAACTTTCAGAAAATGGCCTTTGGATTTCAGCAAAATACATTTTGAACAGATAGGAGAAACAATTTTACTACAGTAAGAACTGCTGAGTCTAGAATGGAATTCCTAAAAAAAAAAAAAAGAACATTTTCACAATAATAACAGGTTCACCTATGATGAACAACTGCTTTGTGTTCAGTGTGCCCTAAGTCGTCTATTGCCTCTGTTAATTTTCTAAACAACCCATAAAAGAGTGAATGTCATCAATTTACAGATAAAGAAGTCAGAGGAATTAAATAACTTGCCCAATCAGCAATTGGTGGAGTAGAGATTTCAATTTTTAGTCTCCTCACCAGCTTGTAAACAATGACACAGAAT